TGCCATTATGCATTAATGTAAATAAACATTATCTTTTAGGCAAAGTCACAATTAATTGCATGTGTGTGGTAGAGTTGTAAATTTTTAAAAAACGTGTAAGAGAGATAAAAATTTCCCAAACTAATTTTTCTTACACTATCTCCACTACCAAATTCGCTCCTCTACCCAATCTTCTATTGGGCCACTCATCAATTTCTCTAACTGGGCCTATCCCCAGGCCCAAGCACATCTCCCTCCCTGTATAGCCCATACAAAAACCGGAGCCCACTCCTATATAAACCCAATCGTAACTACCTCAGCCCACTCCCTCAAACTTGAGGTTCACTATCACGCAATCCAATGATGCCTCGTTAACCTCTTTTGACATGTTTCTCTATGCGATGTAAAATTATGTGTCCAAATATACTCTTCTAGGCAAAGAACTATTAAGGGTCGTTTACTTTGAGGGACAGGATTAAATATGTATTTTAGTCATGAGATATCCGTTGTTTACTTTAAGAGAATTGGACTATTTTTTACCTACGTGGCGCCCATGTGGCATGAAGGCCCACATGTTCATCCCTCCGTTGTCGATAACTCTATCCCGCCTTCCCCCCAAGATAATTTAATCCCAACAATTATGTACCTATTTTGTCCTCACTTTTCGCTTCCAAAGTACCAAAATAACCTTGGTTGTCCACAATATTACAATATTGTCCCATATAAAAAGTTGAAAATGACATTCTGCCCTAATTCTACCCAGGGATGAGCAGAAAGGAGGAAGAAACAATATTGTCCCATATAAAAAGTTGAAAATGTCATCCCGTGAACTAAACGTGTAATAATTCGCTGACGTGTAAAGTAGCTGGACTATTTTGTTTAATCCCATCAATCAAAGTAAATGAGCCCCTAGGGTAACCACATGCCCAAGAGAAAAGTCTATTCAAGCCCAAGACTTTTCCTCTCAAACTCGAGAAGTACATTCGGATACATCGCAAATATAGTATGATAAATATGAGTTTTGATCTTACGTACCACGAGGCTCGGAGGTTGAAATTCATTCTCGAAGACCAACCTATTCCTCGCATTCCAAATGAAGTACACGATTGCCGAGCGCCACTTTTTTCATCTCAGTTTGCCAATTAGCCCCTCTAGTCTCCTTTTTAGTCCATTTAAGGGTCCCTTTGAGAGTCAATGGCCTTTGGCTTAGGCTAATCCAATCACGAATCTCCCCCTATATCTCCAAACTAAATGTGCATTCGAAGAAAAGGTGACTCGATGATTCATCAACTCCATCGCAAAGGGAAAAAGTCGGGTCTATATCGAGGAACTCTAACCGATCCTTTGTAACGAGACGATTGAACACTCTTAGCCAAATAATGAAGGAATGTTTGGGGGTATTGCAAGACCACCAAACAACCCCCGTCCAAGACTTAAGTGTACTACAGGGCCTTAGGAAGTCATAGTAACTTCTCGCCATGTCTTGCTTATCTCGCGAACTCCAACGATGAAGTAGGGCTTTCGCGGCTTGCTCGCTACCAGCCTTCTCTACCAAGACACATCGGATCTCGAAGAGATATTTGAATAGGGGTGAGTCGTCCTTGAGGTCATCTCAAGTTTTTATTCTACTACTACTCTAGTAAGCCAAATATCTAGTCCATCTATAGCGGTTTCGCTAAATTTTACTTTATAAATATATTTTATTTATTTCATTTCATTTCAAATAAATTGTTCATATATTTAATCTTATATATTTTTTTGTTACCGAAATAATAAAAATATGTTTATGTAGTCCAAAACATCATTGCTTTTTAAATTCAAGTAATAGGAATACAACAGTTTTGCTATGAAGCCAACAGTTGGCTCCATAGTGGAGCCAACCTTCTATCTACAATAAATAAACATACCATATTCTCTGATTATTTAAATAACACTAATATAATTTTATTAATATAGTAGGTTTATTTGTTGGTAAGTCGTGTAAGTGACGGTGTAACGCCCCGTTGATTTTCAAAGAAAATCCATGGCTTTTCTAAAAATCATAGTTAAATTTTTGAAATTCATTTTTAAATTGTAAATATTTAACGGCATTACTCATCCATTTCATTAAGTAGTTCAAGTCGTGTCTGAACTATCGGGATTCATTACCCGGTTTTTTATCCAAGAATATCATTATCCATCATCACAATCATAATCATGGACATGTCATCATGTAAACCAATTCATTAGGTTTCACAGAATGGAAATAAACCAACTCATCGGGTTTAAAAAAGAAAAAAAAAAAAGCAGACCATCAAATGCTAAAGAAAAACATCATCCATAATTTTTCAAAACCTCATTGTTTGAAAAATACAAACAAGTTCCACATGTTCTTCATAAAAGCAGAAACAATAATAAATCATAAAAGCCGACCGGCCACTCGTCTCCTGATCGCCATGCCTGCCACATGTCAACCTCGAAAGGGGGACATGGGAGTGAGCACAACCACTTGCTCACTACTATCCACAAAAATCATATACAAAGACAGATAGGTATGGTCGCATTATGAACATGAATCAATAATAATATCACATCTCCTAATCATATAATACTAATGTGCACACCTATCATTAGCCATTGAAGGTCTAAACAGCATCCAACAGTGGGAGTACATGCCGAAGGACTAAACATCTCACGACGACATGGTCTATCATTAGGCTAAGGGAGACTGTCTCTCTGTATCAGGCACTACCGAAAGACTAAACAACTCATATCGACGGTAATAACCGTTCGAAGGACTAAACAGTTTACATCGAATGTTACATGGTTCACGCGCATACATTGATCACACCGTCCAACAAATATAAAAAATTTGTGGCATAAGAATTTAGAATAACCCACCTGGAAATCAAGTCGGCGATAATACACAATCTGTCGGTCGTAGGTCGAGGTATCAACTCCTAAACACCTACATTTAATCAAGATAATTTCATAAATACATTATCTTGACCCTTAGAAATAATCACGAGAATTCGCACTTAGTAGAACATTATCGACTAAGTAGTTCGTGAAATTTCGTAGAATTTAGAACTCTCAGATGATTGGAACAAGACTCAGAACAATGGTACGAGGTTAAAATTAAAGTTCGGCTCGAAAACAGGTCGAACAGCTCACAGACGGACAATTAGAAACATAAAAATCAAGTTGTCAGAAAATGGGTAACTCTATATGCGCAATGATTTTATTTTAAATATATCTTTTGCTAGAAAACTCGGATCCAAATGATTCTTTCTCCAAAACAATCTAGAGATATAGAAGTAAAATTTTATTGAAGACATTGAGTGCACTCGGGCAAGTTAAAAGGTTGAAAACAGATCAAATTTACACAAAAAACCTGCTATCAATTTTCAGAAAAACTGATTGCACGACGTTCGTATTTTGAACGTAACTTTTTGTACAAAAATGATATTTGTATGAATATTATGCCAATTGAAACCTAAGAGAAAAAAACTACAAATCATATGGAAACATCAAGATTTTCAACTCACCCAAAACAGGCCAAAAATAGCAAAAATGACAGACTCAAACTTCTGCGATTAAAACGAAAAACTGATTGCGTGATGATCGGATTTTTTGACATAATTCTCAATATAAAAATGATAAACACTCTATTCCTTTTCCTCAAGAAAAATAACACAGGGAAATACAATTTACATGAAAATTTTAAAAAGAGACGACGAGGTTTCAGTGTTCAAAAACAGTAATAAAAATAGATCACCTACACGACCGGAAAACTAGAAAGTTGGACGCGCAATCGCGAAACTTTGGCCATAATTTCCAGCACAAAATTGATATTTACTCGATTCTTGTTGGACTTGAAACATAACAGACTGAACCTTGATTCATCAAAAGAGTTCAAAGACCGAGTTTAAGAGGTAAAAAACAGCATAGAACAACAAATAGTATGAAGGTCTCAAGTAGGTTTTCAGAATTCAACACTTAAAGGAATGTCGACTACACAAGACGAGGGGGCTCGAATAACACATCGAGGATCAAAATTTCACAAGGTTTCTACCACAAAGTAGGCACACGAGAGTTCCAATTCCACGAATTTCACAAAGCAACACCACAAGCCAAATACGACAAAAGAGTCGAAAAAAAAACCACCGAAAAATCAACATGTTTCGATTTAACCGACGAAAATAGAACAACAATACTTAACCCGAGCATAGAATAATGAAGAAGGTTCAACCAATTACCTCCTTCGAGAATCTACACGCTCGATTGGGAGTCGGAGAAAACGGACGGACGGATGAAGGAACCAGAAAAGTAACCTCGACCATGGCTTGGACTCGGCTTGCTCGACGGACATTCCCCGACAATGGCCGACAAGTCCCGGGCTGCTGCCCGACAAAGGGACGAGAAAAAGGGCTGTTCGGGGCTCTCGGCGATGAACGGGACTGCTCAGCTTCCGAAGGTGGTGGTCTTGCCGACGAAACAGAGGTGTTGCGCGTATGAGTGGGATGATGGCGATTTTATTTCTGATTGATGGATTTTTGAGAGGCGACATAGCTTTTGTTTTCACCAGAGAGAGGAGGAGTTTTTTTTTGTTTTTTTTTTATCGTTAAATGAAAATATATATAGATCAAAATTGGGTATAAGGACCGTTCGACGGCATACAAAAGCGTAATGGGCAAACACATGTCGGTTCTTCATTCACGGGATAGATATACGAGGACAACCACAGGTCGGTTGCTCACTCAAAGGTCACGGGAAATCTATATATATAATTAGGGAAAAACTT